CCCACTCCTAAAACGAAGGCAACAAACAAATGATAAAATTAGAGTGTTATCTCAGTTGTGCTGGACAAAATAAACTTGTCAGAAAATGCTACAGTATGCATATGTTGGAAGAAACACATTAACATACACATAAGCTAAGTGGCTAAAATGATCGTGCAGATTTACATCAAGGTTATTATGTTACACCGCAGGCACAGATTTAACGTTCCCCTTGCATATAAAGGAGAACAAATTAATGGCTTTGAATAGCATGTTTCAGAATGGTCTCTCATAATTAGTCTAGGAAATTGCTCCGAGGTGCCTAGCATCAGTTTTTAAGTAAGGACACCATGATATTCAGCAGTGTTTGTTCGGTGAAGTATATACTATATTTACCTGATATACATTTTTTGCTGGCATGCTCACACTTTTTTTTTACCTTATTTTTTTTACATATAAATTAAAGGCTGAGACAGTTCACGATTTTCATACATAAAAGATTAACAGAGTTATTCACAAAAGGGTGAAGAGTTTGGAGACGGCAGGAAAAAGTGAACAATTTAGGATAAAATTGCGGATTTGGAAAAATTATCCAATTCATCTCACTTTCCAGTTCAGCTATGTTGTCCTACATTGTTCCCTTCTCCTGCCTCCTGTGAATAACCCTGTAAATAAACTCCATCAATTAACTTCTCTTATTTGAAGTATTACTAAAGCCTAGGTGTTTTAGGCTTTAGTAATAAAAAAAGCCTAAGGCCCCATTCACACCTGACCATTTTGTAGCGCGTCCTACGCTCGATGAACGCTCTACAAAACGGTCAAAAAAATAAATAGCAGTGTAGTCAATGGTATCGTTCCCACCTGTCCGTATTTCCGCCCGTCCCGAACGCACTACAAAACGGCCCACGCATGAAAAGGTCCCGGAGCGTTTTTTGCTGCGTATTGGTCCGTTTTATAGGGCTTTTTCCATTTGTATACTGCCAAGTAGCCTTTGGGGTCGCGCAACTTTTTTACCGCGAACCGCTTGACGGTCGCGCGACAGACGCACATATTACAATACGCATAGGTGTGAATGGGGGCTAAAACCTCCGACCCCTTCCCCACTTAGCTGTGGTCCCTCGTCTCCTCTGCCGGGGCCAGGATGATACTCATCTTTCCAAGAACTTGGGGAGGGGACTGAGGGAGGTATAGGCTCCTTCTTCCGTCAGTTAAAGGGTGACTGTGGGAGCGGGAGCCGTGGTCGTCTGCACGCTGTGAGTGTCTATGGACGCAAACAGCTAGGTGCGGGTACGTGCAAGCACGGGTGTCTCCTCAGCAGCCAGCTAGCTGATGCAGACACCTGCACACAAGAAGAGGGGCTAGCGGTTTGGGGACAACTAGAGAATGAGGAAATTAAAAACGTTTACAAAAGAAACAAAAGGCAGTTCAAGTAAGTCCCTTATAATAACAAAATAAAAAAAAACATAAGGTTTAATATCACTTTAAGCCCTTTTGGTTTGATATATATACAGTTGAAAGTGTTTTGTAATATTTGTTCAAAAAGTGCCAAAAGATAACTGTTCATCCTGCCAGAAATCGTGTAGCTTCCTGCACACTCTGAAGCAATGTTATTAGCCCTGCCTGCTTTGGTATGAAGAAGAGGAGAGAGGGGGGTATTCTGTAGTCCGAACACACTTCCTGTCCTGTAGTACAATGCTGCTTCTCCATAGATACTGTACAGTGATTAAATGTTGTCACCCTAGGACAGGAAGTGTGTTACTGGAAGGACCACCAGGTGAAAATAAAGGGGGAAAAATGAATGCAGACACCGCATTTAAGGACTAATACTAATAGGTTTAAATATATTACATACAGTATTTGTTCTTGAGTTTAGATACACTTTACAAACTGTAGCTTTTCCCAGATCTATTGACCAAAACAGATCAGCCTCTAATGACTTCACTGTCACAATAAGAAGCCCTTTGTGGGATCTTCTCATGGAAGAAACTTTTCAGGACCACTAGAATGTTGGCATTAGACTTATTAACATTCATGAAAAAGAGATGACACCACTGCAAGCTGTCATTTGCTTCCCCTGCCATTGGATCTCCAGGGGTCAGATAAGGTGATCACCTGAGCTCAGAGCTAGAGAAGGAAACAGGAAGTCACATCACGATGATGTCAGGCCTAGTAGAACTTCATTGAATCAGGACATGCTCTCTAACGCATCTGACCCAATACAGGCTTCATCACAGATTCAAAATTTCCGTAAACTAACTAATAACAAACTAAAACAAACAATGAAGGGTCATCTTGCTGCTAAAAAAGACAACAAATAATGGCACAAGTGTACTCCAGAATGACTGGATCTCTTAGCATGACCACCATACATGTACAAATGGTCCAGCATTACAGCCACAGTGCCAATAAGGTAAGAGTCCCATCATCTCCTCTTTCTACATCACTATTGAACCCTATTTCATGACTGTGGTATATATATATATATATATATATATACGTGTGTTTTTCCATCTATATCAAGCCATTGGTCACCATACTGCAGAAAACTGCAAAGATAAAGTCAATTAGCCCCATAAAGGGTCTTCATGAGCAAACAGAAAGAACAGCAACAGCCCATTCACACCTTTGCATTTTAAACTCATGTCAAGGCCTGTAGACAAGTTAGCCATCGTTTTCTGTGGTGCTAGTTCACTTCTGTGCATTGTGTTAACATGCGTTGGCTATTTTTTGATGCTTCAGCGTTATAGAGCCTACAAATTTCAATGGCAGCACATAAAAATGCATGATTGTTGATAACACATGCAAAAGCACAAGAAAGGGTTTAGAGAAAAGTGTGAATCCTCCCTCCGGTAGGGTATGCATGGTTAGAATTTCGAACAAATGAAATCGATTTCGGAACATTCGTTCGACTTTCTAATCGTTAATGGAGTCAAATCGATGATCGCTTTCGACCACAGTGACAAAAATATTAGAAGGAGCATGTTGGAATATTTTCCTTATGAACGAAATTCTAACAGTGAATGTGGTTTTCGTTCGGGAAACTAAATTTTTTCCAAAATTAAGGGGGTTATTCACAAAAGGGTGAAGAGTTTGGAGAAGGCCGGAGAAGTGAACAATCTAGGACAACATAACTGATGTGGAAAAATTCTCCAATTCAGCTCACTTTCCAGTTCAGCTTTGTTGTCCCAGATTGTTCACTTCTCTGCCTTTTCCGAACTCTTCACCCTTTTGTGAATAACCACATACATTTAAAATAAAAACAAAAATCAAACGAAATTTCGAACGTCAATCATCAAGTCTTTGATGACATTAAATGTGCCAACGGGATTTTCTGACGTGCGAAAATCTACCCGTGTATACCCAACTTTAGGCACAATCCATCACTGGTTGACTAATAAGCTCGCCTCTCAAAGGGTAAACACGCTGCACACCTATTGTAATAGCATTGATGGATAAGTCTTAGAAGGTTTTCTGGTCAAACCAGTATCTGCAAGGAGTTTGCATGTTCTCCCTGTGTTTGCGTGGGCTTCCTCCGGGTACTCC